CGGTCTCTCTCCCAAGTCTCTCTCCTAGTCTCTCCCAGTCTCTCCCAAGTCTCTCTCCCGGTCTCTCTCCCAGTCTCTCTCCCAGACTCTCTCCCGGTCTCTCTCCCAAGTCTCTCTCCCAGACTCTCTCCCAGACTCTCTCCCGGTCTCTCCCAGACTCTCTCCCGGTCTCTCTCCCAGTCTCTCTCCCGGTCTCTCTCCCAGTCTCTCTCCCAGTCTCTCTCCCAGACTCTCTCCCGGTCTCTCTCCCAAGTCTCTCTCCCAGACTCTCTCCCAGACTCTCTCCCGGTCTCTCCCAGACTCTCTCCCGGTCTCTCTCCCAGTCTCTCTCCCGGTCTCTCTCCCAGTCTCTCTCCCGGTCTCTCTCCCAGTCTCTCTCCCAGTCTCTCTCCCAAGTCTCTCCCGGTCTCTCTGCCGGTCACTCTCTGGGCGAGTGCGCGTGCGGCAGAACACCTCGGCCCCGCGACACGTGCAGGGGTTGAGAGCTGTGACCCGAACACCCCGGGCGCCGTCTTCCTCGGTCTCGTCAGATCTCTGAAGCTAAGTGTAGGATTTGTGGGAACCTGGTTAAGTACTTGGATGAGTGACCACCCCGTTGTTGTTGGCGTGGCGCTGTGAGGTGGCCAGAATATGACAGTGCTGGGTGTCAACCGGGAGTGGGGGGGGAGGGGGTGAGGGGGGAGTTTCCACGTACTCAAGTTTTCTCTCGCACAAAGCCAGAGGCTCGTGAATTGGATTGGCATAATATTCCAATGCAGGACCCCCCATTGATAAAGAGTCTTGAGACGCGCTGTGGCTTTGCTGGGCAAATTGAGGGTGTTGTTGTCATTATTATAATCCAACATGGAGTCACAGGACCATGAGTGCTCCGAATGAGTATCCGATCTTTTCTCATTTGGAGCAGAGCTTTTAAAGGTCATGGCATCCTTCTCCGAGTTTAAACTCGAAAGCACAAATTCCAACATTAGAGTGTGGAGCCTCTGGTAGTCAATTAGCCTGGTTGTAAGCAATTGCATACACACACAAAGGCAAAGACCCCCCGTATAACCTTAGCAGGTGGGGAAAGTGCTGTTAACGAGCACACACACGTACACATGAACACAAATGTATTTAGCAGCGCACAACAGAATTGACGCGGGGCAGGGGGGGGGGTGAAAGGACAACAATCTAAACACAAAAAGCAGTTCTAAATAGATAAGTTGTCAATCTAGATTATTTAAAAGTGCACTTAAATTGCATTGCTCCAGTAGCTTTCTAACACCAGAAGGAAGAGCGTTCCAGACGGCCGCAGGTGCGCACCTCAACACAGGCAACGCTTTGCAAACAACACCGCGGGCGACAAACGAAACCGAGTGACGAACGGCGCGATGCGCGGCGTTAGGCGGACGCACGCCGTCTCGGCAACTTCCCGCTGCAAAACGCAAATGCGGGAGATGCGAAACTCCACGGAATGGCCAAAAACATTTGAAGCGGCCGGATTTTTCCCGGGAACAGGAGGAAGGAGGTGGGGGGGGGAGCGTGTAACTCGAAATATTTGCGGCGTCTCTTGTAATCGAGAGCCCAAATGTGCAATCATCTTTAACATCGGAGCTGTGCGTAAGGCGTGGAACTCTTCCGGAGTAGCCGGGGGGGGGGGGGGGGGGGGGGGGGCGGTGGGGGGCATAGCCGCCAGTGTGTAACTGCGTGCAGGCGAGTTCCAAAAACACTTCCGAGGTGTAAATCGGAGAGGCGTCGCTACGGCCTCTTGGGCAGTCACGGGGGGGGGGAGGCGCCTTGGTTCCCGATGTAGGGAACAAGCTCACATCTTTACAACTGCTTATTATGTCTAGTTTCATATTCTTGGTTCTTTCGGTAAAATCACGTAGAAGGGAAGTAATAAAATAATACAAATAAAATAATAAAATAATTCTCACGACGTTTCGGCTGGGACAGACGCTGTCGCCCCGACAGACCTGGTTTTCACCTGAAGACGGCTGCTTGCGTTGTGGCCGAAACGTCGTGAGAATTATTTTATTATGTTTTATTTTTATTATTTTATTACTTCCCTTCTACGCGACTTTACCGAAAGAACCAAGAAGATGAATCCCTGCAGTCACGAAAGCTTTAAATCGAAATTGATGTCTAGTTTGTTACCACCCCCCCCCGCCCCCCACGACGCACACTCCGTCTAGCATGATTGGCTACGTACGACGTGAAAGAAGTTCACCACGCGTACCACGGACAGCTCCAAATGCAAAGGGGGAACTTGTTTTGGTGTTGTTGCCGCTTTGGGGTTTGCATCGGACTCGGAACCCGTCCCTAAGAGAGAGAACTCGGATCCCGTACCCAAGGGAGAGGGGGGTCCTCGCCCACACACATTTTGGCAGATTGTCAGCACGGTCCGTTCAAGCAAGCCTGACTCCGCTGACGAGACGGTGATTGTCGAAGTCAGTCCAAAGTGTACTTGTGTTGTGCCAATGCTGCTGAAATTATGAACTCCCAAAAGGCCGTGTGGCTGATAGGATGTGTAAAATAAAACTTGTTTTTTCATGCGGAAAGACAAGTATGCGAAGCAGACTACACAATGAATGTAGAGCCCTTTGTTAAACTATTTCTGAATACTGGCTTGCCCATGCCGAGTCAGTCATGGGGGGTTTACTTGACTATACTTCACCACGCCAGTCTCTCTTAAGTGTGGTGGATGTTCTCGGGTTCCCACCCACTAATAACTCAAACAAATTGAAGCATCATCATTACGACCATGATAACGATGAGTTAGATGATGATGGTAATATCGGGGAACGGGGGGGGCGAGGGGAGTGGGCGTTGTTTGGACCTTGCCCGGGACTTCCAACTCGCAGTCGTCTGCGAGTAAGCCAAGCTTTCATGCTTGGTGGGCCACATGCTTATACTCACAGCATTCACGTTAGAAAAAAATATATCAATTGTTTACAACTCATCTGCATGCAGTTGTATTTTACACATGCCATCTGCATCAACGCAGATGATTCAAAGCTTGCCAGGTCTCGCGGGTGACCAGGAGATTCTCCCGTCCTCACTGCCCTGTTGGCATAACAGTAGCCCCCGAACAACCAAACCTTACGTCTCATCGCTGAGTTCCCTCCGGCTACCGCTGGCCATTCAGGCCGAGCAGCGCGCGCCTGGATAGAAGAATGGGTCCACAGCTGGGCGGCTCCTAAACTAATGTCACTGGGACATTCCGCCGTAACGAAGCGGGCATCTCGAGGCCAGAGCCGTACTCGCTAACGTGATTAGATGGTCCTAAATCACATCATGAAATGCACTTCTCTGTCCGACAGCTTCTTCGGCTTAAACTCAATTTAGGAAGAAGTTCGGCCGTTAAGGCGGTTTTAAAGCGGACGGACATAAAGCAATTCCCTCCCAGCCTTCCTTGCCGCTAAACTAATTTCCTAAAGTTCAACCAAGTCAATGGCCTCCGCGAAAACAATTCCGCAGCTAACCGACTGAATGCCTCTAGCTCGCGAGCGAAGGATTACAAAATATGACCCCCCCCCCCCCCCCATGCATTGCACATCCTTTCACCCCCTTCCCATAAGGAGACAAACTCTCATGCATTTCACAATGGAATTAGGTGGCCGCTAACCCCACCACTTAAACGCGGTGCGGTTTATTTAGACACTCGAATCATTATTTGAACAATGCCGAAGCATGTTTTAATCATTACAATCATCCACTGCCGTGGTCTATCCACTGCTGGGTGATAGCTTCCCCACTCTGTCGTCATCCAGGATTTTGTTGCTGTTGCGTGTAGTCACTTTAAGATGTTTCTTGTTCATGTTTTTGTTTTGTTGCGGTTGTACCCGAGTCAAGAGCCGCATGGCTCACGGGGTTATACCTAATACATGAAAATGAAACTGAATCTCTCACGGACTCGCAATGATACAACAGTCCATCTCGCATTATTGCGCCTGCACGCGAGGTGATGGCATGCTTTCATGGGTTGACGTGCACAAGGCAACGTATTAACATTTTTTTAAAAATTTAAACTTTGTTGTTAGATTATTGTTATGTTAGGCAAAAGGCAAACACGTGTCGCGTGAGTGTGCATGTCTGTGTGTGGGGGGAGCGGTGTTGCAGTGATTAGCACACTGCGCTACAAATCCGCTGACCCGAGTTAAATTCCCGCTCACGGCCAACATCGATTACGGATATTAGAACCGGACCCGAGCCTCCTCTAGGTCAACTCATCCTGAAATCGGCACGTGGTGCGATGTGTAAAACATCGTCACCGAGGAGGCCGAAGAGTGGAGTCGGCCACCTCCCCCCTCGTCTGCCTTTGCCGAGCTTCATTGGCGCTAATCGCTAACAGCACTTGCCTCGACAGCCTGTTAAGAGGCTACACGGGTGATCTTTGTCTGTTGTCTGCGTTCCCCACGCGAAGGTCGTTGTCGGCTTGCCCCCCCCCCCCCCCAACCAACCCCAGTGGCTGCGTGACAGATGAGTGCCGGCAGATTATTAGTGCCCCTTCACCCTGGATGGACCCCCCCCCCCCCCCGCACACAAAGGTCGCCTCCTCACCAGGGAGGTCACAAAGAAAACGCCATCCCACAGGGCGGCGGCCCAGGGCCTCCTGCGATGGGCTTCCATGTTCACATCATCATCATCATCACCATCACTGTCGTCAGCATCGTCAATGCGACGTGCGATGCAATGTGGATTTACGTAGCAGTCCGCGGGTGACCACGTCTCAAGGTGCTACCCAGACGCAGTGGACATCGTTATTGATAGAGAAAGAGAGAGGCAATCATGGGCAGAGAAGAGGGACTTGTATGTGGTCAGGGCGTCGACAGCACGGATCGCTGGGGTAAGGGAGTTCAGGACTGTGGGGGCAGCAGAGTGGGGCATGAGCGACTTCCCACGCAGCGAAGGTTTATTAGAAGATTTGACAGAAAGCATCGGTTGCTGACGCGCCGAGTGTGTGGAGGGAAGTTGAGTGACATGAGAGGGGAGAGGTGGGAGAGTGCGTGGAGGGGAGTAGAGTACTTGCTCTGGCAGTACATATACTAAAATTGGAACGATACAGAGAATATTAGCATGGTCCCTGCGCAAGGATGACACGCAAATTCAAGATGAGAGGGGAAAGGTAGGAGAATGCGTGGAGGGGAGTGAAGTGAGATGAGAGGGGAGAGGCAGGAGAGTGCGTGGAGGGGAGTGGAGTGAGATGAGAGACATGAGAGTGTGTGGAGGGGAGTTGAGAGAGATGAAAGGGGAGAGGCAGGAAAGTGCGTGGAGGGGAGTAGAGTGAGATGGGAGGTGGGAGAGTGTGTGGAGGGGAGTTGAGAGAGATGAAAGGGGAGAGGCAGGAGAGTGCGTGGAGGGGAGTAAAGTGTGATAAGAGGTAAGAGAGTGCGTGGAGGGGAGTGGAGTTAGATGAGAGGGGAGAGGCAGGAGAGTGCGTGGAAGGGAGTGGAGTGAGATGAGAGGTGGGAGAGAGCGTGGAGGGGAGTGGAGTGAGATGAGAGGGGAGAGGCAGGAGAGTGCGTGGAGGGGAGTGGAGTGAGATGAGAGGCAGGAGAGTGTGTGGAGGGGAGTTGAGAGAGATGAAAGGCGAGAGGTGAGAGAGTGCGTGGTGGGGAGAGGTAGGAGAGTACCTGGAGGGGAGTAGAGTGCGATGAGAGGTGGGAGAGAGCGTGGAGGGGAGTGGAGTGAGATGAGAGGCAGGAGAGTGTGTGGAGGGGAGTTGAGAGAGATGAAAGGCGAGAGGTGAGAGAGTGCGTGGTGGGGAGAGGTAGGAGAGTACCTGGAGGGGAGTAGAGTGCGATGAGAGGTGGGAGAGAGCGTGGAGGGGAGTGGAGTGAGATGAGAGGCAGGAGAGTGCGTGGAGCGTAGTCGAGTGTGACAATCAGGGTGGGGTAGAAAATGATGAATCCATGGAGGAATTCCTGGAGAGTTAAAGTTATAAATGTTCCTCCACTCTTTTACCAAAATCACCAGGAGCTGTATCTACTCTTTAAATGAAGGCATTTAGAAAAAGAAAAAAAAACGTTGTTCTAAACTACACAAAAGTTACATGCGAGAGAAAATTGGATACAGCTTGTTGAACAATCTCAATTGTTATCCAAAGCCTAATAAAACGAAAGCCATGTTTTGTTCATATAAATTACGATCATCGTGGCCACAATCGTGACAACGACCATCACTCCCGCTACGCTCGGCAGAGCGCGCACAACGCGAGTCTCCACACGGGAAGGAGGGAGAAAAAAAAGAACAACCCCCGACCGTGGCGAAATCACCGCGGCCCACCGTGGCATCTTTTATTTAACAGCGTGCCCCGTCTTATTTTTCCTTCTTATATCCACCCCGCGCACGTGGCATAGATTAGTGTAAACCTATCAGAGCTGCTTTTCCAATTGATTGGAAGCACACACCGGGTGTTAAAGGTCACGGGAAGAAGAAGAAGGGGGAGGAAAAAAATCCCGGCGGAGGCGATTGGATATGCGTCATGACGGACTCGCCGGGGTCAACCCTCGCAGGGATTAAACCTGCTGCTGCTGCTGCGAGCTCTCGATCTGCGCAATCAGAAAAACGAAATTAATCACCGCGAATCGAGCGAGGCGAGGCAAAGGGTGGTGATGGGTGGTGGGGGAGGGAGGTTGCAGCCTCCGTCGCTTTCAAACAATGAATATGTAACGAGTCGCACGAACAAACGTGGCAGCAGGGAGCCCGACGGGAACTTCCGTCGCGGTGGTCGTGGTGGTCGTGGCAGCGCGGCGCCGGTTTCTCGGCTCCCAGCGCCGGCCGAGTTCAATCTGCCCTCGGCTGCCCCCCCCCCCGTGCCCCCCCCCCCCGTGCCCCCCCCTTCCCCCCTGGCACCACCTCAAAGGTCACGGACAACCCCCGGTATCCGCCGTGACCCTGGGAACGTTTGAGGTATCGTCGTTGTTCTTGTTGGGGCTCTCATTTTGCCCCCCCCACCCCCCACGTCGTCCCCTCCTCCTCCTCGGGCTGGCACCGGCGCAGCAACCGCAAACGCGGCGGTGGGGGGGGAGGGTGTGGTGAGGGGGGGTGTGGTGGGGGAGGGGAGGGGAGGGGTGGGGGCAAGAGGGGGGCACGCGGGGGATTCGCGATGGGCGACTTCGCAAATCGGCGTCCGGTCGCTGCTGATTGCAAGGAGGTTCACGGGGGGCACAGCGTGGACGCGCGCCCCCCCCCCCCACGGTGTGCTCCTGCCATGAAACGTAGTCTCGTCGCTGGCAGGATGAGGATGGTTTTGTTGCGTTTGTTTGTGTTTGGTTGATTTGTTTACCTTTTCATGTACGTTGCACCACGGTCGTGTTTTTTGTACCGTGTCGTTGTTGTGGTAGTAACGATCTGACCCCCGTGTCCCGACTGTCCGGATATCTGTGAAAAAGAGCTTTACAGCTCATCGGATTCCTCCAGGATAAATACAATATTCTGATTCCGATTCTATAATCGGTGTGCACTGGCTGCTCCTGCTGCTGCTGCTGTTCTCACATTTGCCCAAGTCACGGACACTAACCCCCCCTCGCCCCTAATTATTTTGATCTATTATTAGAATCGTTTAGAATTATTATTTTCGCGAATGGAAGTAATTATAAAAAGTAATAGACCGGTCTGCAATAACTAAAAGTGATCTGACAAACACATGGCATGCGGCCTCAAGAGACTGCTAAAGTCAGTGTTGTTAGCGAGCGCACATTAAGGGCAGAATGGCGCACAAGAAGGGAGGATGTGACCATCAGCGTACCTGGCCACCTTTGTCTCCCCAACGTCACTGCTTTTTCACTCACTGCACCATGCACTCGATTACGGCTGAGTCGACCTAAGAGAGGCCCGGGACCCTGTTTTCTGATTCCGCTCGCCACTGACGTTAACCATGACCGGGGGATTGAACCCGAGCAGCCGGGTACAAGGGGGGGGGGCAGTTCGCGAACACCAGTGGTGGCGCAAGAACCCCTCTTCCGATTCCTAAACTCCTCGTGGGCCGACAGAAGCGACGTGGACAAGAGGCAGTGCTGCAGCGCGGCGGAGAGAGATGTCGACGAAATATGCGTCGAGGCGGGAGAAGAGAGTTACAAGATCGGGAGGGAGAGATGCGATATTCACGTTTTAATGTTGATTGGGAATTTGAATTACAGCGGATATTTGGTGCACCCGTAAAGATTCCACGATACTTGAGCCCCTTGAGCGTCTTCTTCTTCGGGGTACTAGGCTGCTTCGGGGTCTGTGTGCAAACCACTGCACCACCACTCCCCACGGCGCACAGCAACAACAGCTGGTGCTCGTGCCGGCTGTGCCAGGCAGAGGGTTGACCCAGATGCACAGGGCAGCCACCTAATACTGCTGCCAAAGTGCAAAGAGTGATCCACAGGCGGGGATTAAAGAAAGAGTTCCTCCTAATTAACTTGGCCAACGAGTGCTGAGTCGGCCTTCCTGGGAAAATAATGGCACGTGCTTTACTGCATTGGGTCCAAGGTTGGATCCGTTATATCTTTCTCGTGTTGCTTGCTTTAATTTGTTTCGTATTTTATTGCTTCATTTTGTCTTCGGGAAGAAAAAAAATGTGTTGTAATGTTAATGCAATGATGTTGCTTCCTTTCCCCTGTATTTACAATACGGGGCGAAGCGACAGCACCACTCCACTCTGAACCCACGTGGGTTGACAGGGGTGACCATCATCAGCCATGATCCATCTACTGCTGGATGAAGGCCTCCTCAATACACGATGCGGTGGCCTGTCCAAGTCTCTGGATGGCTTTAGTTGCCTGGGGTCTGGACACGTTCATGATTATGTCAGGGGTTGTTGGGTGGGGGGACCGTAACTTTTGCCCGGACTGTTCTGGCCGCAAACCCGGAAAATGTTTCCACACCAGGCCACACCACATCCATCATGTGTTGGCGAGATGTTTACGGTGGCAAGATGTTAACTGCTTCGTCTCGTATACAGGAGGTCGTGGGTTCAAGCCCGGCCCTGACGCCTGCTGTATATTTGGAGTTTGCACGTCCTCCGTCTTTTTTTTACATTTATCATCAACGTGCGTTTAGAGTACTTGGCCGCGACAACTTTTCACGTGACGATAAGCCACTTCGTTGGGCCATCATCTGTGATTGCCAGGTCGCTTCTGACAAAAAAAATCGCTATACAGCTCAGTGGGCCTTACCTGGTAAAATTAAAAATAATAAGTTAGTTGGTTTACCTCTCGCAGCGGCTGTGGCCACTCCTCGTCACGTGCCCGTCTCTCACCGGCGGCCCGGAACACATTCAGTGAGGAATTAAGCCCTGCCTGGGGGGACCCATAAAACACCGTCTTCACGGCAGCATCTGGGTCGCGGGAGCGTGTCGAAGTCGAAACTCCGCGGCGGCTGCCTCTCGCCTAATAACGGAGCTCAGTGCTCAGTGATGGGGGAGCTCCCAGAAGGTACAATAAAACAAGGCAGCAAATAAAATCCAAAGCAAGGTAAATAATAATAATAGGGGGGGCTTAATTTATCTCCGAGTATTTTCCGGGTCTCTGGCAGACTAGAGCGGGTGGCAAGGTGACTTAGCAGTAGGCACTGACATAGCGAGAGGTATTGTGGACGATGTGGTGTGCCGGGAGAGGAATCATTTTCTGGGTCGCCAGCCAGGACAGAGCAGGTGGAAAGTACATCCTTGAAATATACTGAAATTACTTACAATAGTCGCATTGTATCATGATCAAAATCATTATTATACCCAGCCCTTGTGAGCCATTTTAACGAATTTGACCCGAATTAACAAGGGCGAAGTATTGTTGTAATTTTTTACTTAAAAACATTCACATATTTCTTCGAAATAAAAAAAGAAACTTTTGCAAAAATGCGTCAGCTGCGTTCACTGGATATTGCGATAATATGTTCTGTTTGTGAAGTCTGGCTTAAAATATTAAGACAATAGTGTTGAGTATTTCTGCTCTGTGTGGGAGGAAATCCAAGAGGCAGGAGAACACTCAGCAGCGAGGACATATTATGCAAATGCTGAAAAGACAAACCCAGAACCCAAAACCTACGAGCTGTACTGCATAATGTAGGAACTCTATTTATAGGCAACTCAATGCTCCATCTCTGTGCCAGCCGTAAAGCCGACTTGCTGTACTGCAACAATAC